GCTTTCAGGTCGTCTTTGCACAGCTTTGCTTTTGACGGCGACACGTTGCTTTGGGGATTCGACGCGCGAGCCGACAGAAATATTCCACCGTGGAAGGGAAAACCGCCCGAATCTTCCGCGCGTCAATTTTTCACAGATTCGTCCCCCTCCTCGCCTAATTTCCCCCTCCTTCATCGAGAAAATTCCGTAAAAGTGGAACAAATCATTTATTACTCGAAATGACTCGCGAGGATGCTCTTTCATTTGAAATATATCATATTAGAACACGCCATAGTTGATGATACAAAATTTGGTTTTAATTAGAAATTCGATAGTTGAAGGGAACGTCGTTGTAACAAAAATGATAACAATTTTTGTTAATATTTACAGAAGTTACATTGTAAATTCATTGAGAGCTATAAAAGGCAACATGTGTCATCAAATTCTCTTTCTTTCTTTCTGTTACAGAAATATGTCAACAATTATTCGTAATAAAATATTTTCTTTACTTTCCACCAGATTATTGTTCCCTCGCGCTTGTGCAAGCTCCTGTATTATTATGTTAATACGTGCATGGTTATAGTTGCAGTGTCTCTAGTTCAATAGTCGCGCCATACTCCTTGTACATTGTTATGTGAACCCTATTTTGCGTTTCCTTTGTCTTGACGAACGAGCCACACCAGTCAGCGTTACCGAGCACGCATGGAAAATCCGCAGCCAGAATGCTAATTAGTCATAACAACGGTGTTATGGTTTATTATATGGTATATTAGTAATAATTGTTATTTTCAAGCACGTTCCATTCCGTTAAGACCACCAAAGTCACGTTTCTTAATTATTCTTATTCATTTTTTGGTGAACTTAATCCTCAACCAAATAAGAATGTCTTTGATATTCGTTCACAATTTACTATGTAAAACAGAAATATTCTATTGTTTCTTCATACGCTAGAGAATCGAAATATTAAATTCTATTTCTCTTAAGATATTTCTTCACCCTTTTTCACAAGGACACTTCTTCTTAAAGAGACTTTCTTCAATGATCTTTCTTCAAAGTATCAATAAATATTACGTTTTAAGCAACTGTGAGAAATACTATTTAATACAAACGTGACTCAAACACGTATGTATGTATGTATCAAAAATCCTTATATTTAATTTTAAGCTTGTCAAAGCGGAACTCGTTACATCTTGACCATATTAAATCTGTTCTCCAAACATTGGTGGGTACAACATCGAAACGATCAACTGAAAGTACTGGTTTCGCGTACCAGTAACGAAAGGAAAAGAATCATTCGCGAGCCATTTCGTTCACAGAAGTCATTTAGCGTTCGCAGCCATTTTCTTGGGATCCCCCCCTCGCGCGTGCGAAGTGCTGCAGTTTAGCCAGCAAAGCTCTTCCCCGCTGCCGTGGTACGCGACGGGAAACTCGGTTCTCCATTTGCGAGCGTAATCGTTCCGCGAATTTAATTTGGCGACGAGGCGGGACTGAGAAGAACCCCAAGTTTCCCGGGCAGGGCGTTGTTGCGACCGTGAAATACGAGCTTTTTCTAATTACAAACCCGCCAGCGTGATCCAACGCCGATTCCTCGATTCTAATTAATCGAACTTCGGGCTTGTAAACAAATTGCCAGCCGGAAACGTTCGGGGGTAGCTTTGATTACCCAACTGGTCGGCCAGACGTTTCATTTCGCAAATTCGCGAAATTTTAGCCCCGATATGACCGCTACCAGCGATATCTCCCCTGGATATTAATCCACTCCGAATCGTAATTAGTTTTGTCCGTTTATTTTCCGACGGTTGTTTAAGGATCGCCCGGAGAACCTTCGAAGAGTAATTCAAATCAAATATTAAACGTTATTCGTTGGTAATGCTGGCTTGTGTCCGACTACGAACACGGGTGCTTCCACTTGCGCGGTGAATTTTTTAATACATAAGCTTCCAGCGATCCGAACGTGGATTTAATAATTGCATCAGCTACTGGGAGTTTCTTCTTGGTTTTATTTAAAAAAGGAGGAAACCAGCGATGCATAGGTTTCGAAAGTACTAACAAATAAAAGACGAACAGCCGTTTATTCGTTGTTAAATTAAAATAAAAAAATTCATTTTCCTGAAAATTTCTGAATTTCAGCAACCCGACGCGTCTGGCGTTCCCCAAAATCCCGGAACTCTGTTTCGGTATTAATTCCGTTACGGGGGTGGGTTGTTATCTGCAACGACCCCCACGGTTTCCTTGCAATTAACATCGTAGCCCGCCTCTTCGAGCCCCCGTTTCCTTTTTCGAAAGGGTTTTATGCGTCTCCTCGCCCCCTTCGTTACTTATCTTGGCAATTTCCGAAACGGCGACGCGTTTTCCCAGGAAATCGTAACGTTATCGGGCGATGATAACCGGCACATTCGCGGCGAACCGAAACTCCCACGGTAATGCAAAGTTCTAACGTGACAACACAACCGATCGCTCCCCCGTTTACCTAGTAATTTTACAATTTCCTACCCGTGCATCCGTTTCCCGCGCAACAGCGAGATTTACCGCGCTGTACAGACGCTCTACGCGGCAATAATAATCGTTCCCAGGGAAATTCATCCTCCGACAACCATCCTTTCCGTTGGTTTCGAACTGCTTCTCTGACGGTTCAGCGGCGAGAGCCAAGTTACAGAAATCAGATACGACGACGACGCCCCGTAACACGTAATGTGTCAACATTTCACGGAAGCTTCTATATAACACATCCGGGTGTCTGTACATTCGACGAAATTTCCCTAATTTTAGCGAGAATTATCGTTTCGCGGAATTTCGATGCCAGGAAAATTGGAAAGTTGGCAATTTAGTTGATTTTAGAGGCTTTCTTGCAACTTTCCTGGCGAGAAGATCACCGAGTTTGTATTTGCAATCGATTTGGGAAGGTTTCTTTAAGTGCATCTGAAATTTAGCAATGGAAAGATACCCAAGTTATCGGTGTGGACGATAACAGGTGTTTTGAGGCTTTGCATTTGGAAATTATATAATTTTCTTGATAAAAACGATTTAAATATTTAATGTTTCGTATATGGAATGTGACAAGATTTCTCTGAAAATTGTATACTATAAAATTGGGAAATTAGTAATTTACTCGTGAAATAAAAATAAAAATTTTAAGATCATCGAATAAAATATTACTGTCGTTTAAGTTTCCAGATATCTGACTATGTATCGATTCCACGTTTGATTTAAAAAAAAGGCAAGGTTTTATAAAATAAAAATGTTCGCATATAATAATTTTCACAAATCAAATACTTGTCCAACGTGCCACAAAATGGTATACAAACGTAGTTCCCTGAAGTTTTTCTAATAATTTAGGGACGATCAAGGAGAATCAGAAAACAAATAGGACAACTTTTTCCCATTAGTTATTTACCGAAATTTTTACGAAGTTTTGGTCGCGACCCAGGGTGGAGAAATTAGCCCCGAGGTGCCAAAAATCCACCGCCCGCCCCTCCGTTGAGCTTTATCCGCGGTAACCGGGGTAATTAGACGGAAAATAACCGGGACATCGTTGGACGAAAAATTTGTGCTCCACGGTCACAGTTCCGCCAGGAAACACGCACCCCTCGGCAAACAGGATGCGTTAAATGGTGCAGTCACCCCTTTGGAAAATTGGAACGTTTCTTTGACCTTTCCCCTATTCCCGGTTTGCTTCATAAATGCAAAGAATTACTTTTCTTCGCCATACGAAAATATTTCATCGTTGTTATTTCGAGAAAATTTGGGAACGAGAGCACGGTAGCAAAATATTTTGAAGAGAGAATAATAATTGTTAGCAACGTTAGGGTAGCTGCAAAATTTTTAAGACAAAGAAGTTAATTTTTTAGCTACTTTAAATTCTGTAATAAATTCAGTTACGATGATTTTATTCAGGCGATAATGAAATTAACAGCGTAGAATTTCATATGGTAGTTCTCGACGCGTATATAACTTCTTCCCCTTGTTTTCAACATTGAAACGCGTACACGTTGCTTTCCCGTTTTCACGAAAATAATTCCTGCAGCTTCCTCCGGGTAGTTTTTTTTTATAAAAATGCAGTATAGTTCGCTGGTTTATTTTCGACCAAATAACAGACGTTTTTTATATTTATTTTTATTTCATCTCATCGTGGTCACGACGAAATTTATTCGTTTAAAATCAACGTTGGCGTCTTGTTGGTTTACGTTATGCCCCACAAAGTTTTTATTATCATAATAAACATGTGCTCCTTTTAGAAAATTAAATGGCTGCTCTCTGGATTCGGAACAGTTGTTTCAATCTTGAATGCGAAATAATTCATCCAATTTTCTGAATTAAAATAGAGCTGTACGATTAAAACAACTCCTGAATTATTCTCGAGTTATCCCCAGTGAAACATTAAGCGGACAGTAGGTCAGATTACAACGTCGTGAATGTTTCGATCAGCAGTTTCGTTCGTCGAGGAAATGCGATTTTTCCTTAATTTCACGGTTTCTACTCCAACAATAGAGATCGTCTTTCGATAAACCAGGAAACGTCGGGGCGAGAACGAACGCGTGGAACGAAGAATGGAAATTATGTTTGAACGAACGATGATGCGCGGCGAATACGAGAAGAAACAGCGTAATGTATCATCGTTAGTAATAAAATATGCGGGTCGTTGGCTAATGACTGCCTCTCTGATTAAATTACGGAAAACATTGCCAACCCCCTTTCGTGAATTTTATTAAACGATACTGTCTGTCTAGACGCATAATCGCGTTCACCACGTTCACTGCCGCGTTGATAATACTTTTCACTAAGAAGCTGAAAACAATTAATTCCCAAAGTAACAAAAATAAGCAGTACGATGAACTGTGTGTTCAACGAATATAAAGTTAAGCGTGTTTTTATTATGCAAGGTTAAGGACAAGATCAGTTTTCAAGGAGCTCTATAATTGTTAAAAAATTAAATTTTAGCCTCGAAGCAGAAAATTTCGCAAGTTTCATCCGGCAGTCAACGTGTTGAGCGTGAAATTACTTTAAGAACTTTTAATACGCACCTGTGGATAATCACCGAATTTCGTTTGATAGTCGAACACATAGAGGTAAGAGTTTCGATGAGCTTGACTGTGGAGGTCCGCTGTTCTCGTAGCTGGTGCCACAGTGTTGGCATCGCCTAAAGCTTCGAGGGTTTCGTCTCTGAAAAATTACAAGAATTTCCTTTCACTCTCGACTTACGTCCAATTAACAGACACTGGACTTTACTTTGGTAGAAAATTTTTAATTCAAATAGGTTCGGTGCTAATGAACTCGTATAACAGAGACTGAAAAACTGATTTCTCGTATTTATATCTCGCAAGTTATTTTCTGAGTAAAATGTTACATTCTGAACCCAAATTAATTAGTAATATGGGTGACATTTGTATCGATGATTTGCACAATATTAGTTGAGAGAGTGTTTAAATTATAAATTCCGTCTGAACCTAATCAACATAAACAATTGATGTCGAAAACGTTACACGCCGGAGCCTTTGATTTCCGTTCATTAAATTTCCACACCGATACTTTCAAACTTGATTCTTCGCACAATAATCTGATCCCATAGTTAAAATTTCACCGTGCAACACAATATTGTAAGCCATTAATTTACGTAATTACTTTCCCTTCCCATTACTTTGTTTAGAAGTTTCAGTCTGGATTTTAATGGTTATTGTTTAATATATTCACGTCTCGTCCATTATTGATCGTTCGATGTGATTTACAAGCCCGGCTAATAAGATTGTGTTATTTTCAATATCTACAACAATGGAGATATGAAATCTTTTATCATGGTAATTCTCCATACATGAAAATTAGAATGTTCAGTTTTTTTAAAGTTCTTGATTAATATTATTTCTGTAATTCTTGCAATCTTATTAATTTTATAGGTTCTTTAATTTCTAAATCCTTTTAAATACTTTATGCTTACTTAATGTTAGATGGATGTTGTACGGGCCGTTCCCAGTCCGTGTACTCGTTGATTATGGTTGCTAGGATCTCTGCTTGGTGATACGTATAGGTGTTTCGAACAAATTCCCTGAGAATTTTTGTTCTTCTGTCCGCCTCGATCCCGTAATATGCGTCGTCGGCGGTCAAAGAAAAATATGCTTCCGATCGTACAACACCGATCATAAGATCGTACCTAAAAAATCGACTATGACTTAATGAGGTATAGTTGTTCAATGTATACCAGTCACTTAAATCGTACATCTTCAATTTTACTTTTTCTTAATATCGAACAACAATTAATAATAATAGATGTATTTAAGATCAAGTTGTAACTGCCAATATTAATTAGTATAATAAATCTGTGATATTTTGATAAATCTTCCCCTCTATAGTATTTGAAGTAAATATCTATATAGTATAGAAGTAAATGATATTTAAAACTTCGTTATATTTATACTTATTACACAGTTTACGCTTCTATCAATAAATCTTGAATCATTGGCATTCAGTCAACACGTCATAATGAAGTAAATAGTTTCTGATTACTACAATGAACGGCAGTCGTATTTACGTATCATTTCGAACTCAAACGATGAACGAAATGCATGAACTGGGCACAGGTAATATTTCATAAATATTCAACGGTAAATATGCACGACTGATGTATCAGTTTTCGGATTTAGAGCTTCTCCTCACCGAGTAATTATTAGGAAGTTCCAGAACTTATTGCGTAATATTAGTCAATTTGTTTTATGTTACATTAAGACTGTGATTCCGCAATCATAGTGATGTCAAAACGTGAATGGTCACGGTCTAGAAAATTTGGAATACCGTAATTAATTACTGCAAAATTTATCTCACTTGATTGAATATTTATGTAGAATCGAGCGGGGGAACTCGTTAAATCCTGTACGTTCTTTGAGCATTTTAAATTAAATGCTTGGAGACTAATTGAAATCATAGCTTTACTAAAATCTGTGGAAATCCTTTTGGTAGGAATTTGTAATATTTAATAATTTCCAATTAATGTTATCATTATAAATAAATATGCCCCCTTGGCTCTATTACTAGTATTGATTAATCATTTCGTAAAATAATATTTGTTACGAAAGTAAATTTTAATGATATAATGACAGTGAGAGGAATTACTGTATTGAAATTATGGAATTACACTTTTTATACGATGCTTTGTTTCCTAGAAAATCAATTTCGAAAATTAATCGGTTACACGTGCATTTTAATACCACTTGATTAACCCGTCCGACCATTATTCGTTATTTCTACTTGCCTCGGTGTTCTCATTGATCCTATTATGGTATTATTTATTTTTTTATTGTTACACGCTACCTGCATAGTCCAGACACTACTATAATTACATCTAGTTGGATCAAATAATATTGCACCAACATTTATGCTGAGAAACAAACAAAACAAGTAGAAATATCAAGCAATGGTCAGACGCGTCAGACAAAACATAGTCAAATGATCGTAATTCCGCTCGTCGATTAAATTATCAACATCAGTGATCCTAAAAACATTATTCTATGCCTTCTATTCATTTTTTTTTCGAATCGTTTATGTCGCGAGTAAACCACGCTTGTGAAAGCTGCATATTTCGTTCTTTACATTTCTAGATCGCTCACTGGGCTTAACAAAATTAGGAACCACTGCTCTAAACACTGTTTCCCTTTATCTCTAACAAACGTAATGAAGACACCCGTCGTTATTTAACATTCCACGATAAACAAAAGTCGCTTTGAAAGGCTCTCGTGCGTCCCTAATTTTGCGCGGGAACATTCTTCTCCGGTTGTGCGGTGTTCCGTGAATGCTCAAACCTTTCTTCCCCGCGTTGAATCATTTAACGCGGCGCACTTGTTAAATTACTTTTACAAACGGCACCGGTGTCTCGAAAACACGGACAATAGGAACTGGTTAAATTCGTTTCCGGCGACGGGGGACGACTGGACGAGAGAATGGCCACAACCGTGCTGCAGAAATGCGGTTAATTAAAGGTAAAGCAAAAGTACCGGTAGGCGGCTACACTTTCGAAAGCTAATACGGACGAATACGTCACACTACTTTCCGACACATCGCTGTAATACTCTAATGGAAGATGATAGCTTTATTTTTTTCTTTACCACAGAAGACCACGATCAAAACAATACCTCAATACAATACGTCAAGAAAATTCAAAATCTTGGCACGCAGATTTATGTAATATCCATTAACGAACTCTTCTTTAGGTACAATCATGTATTCTATAAAATACAATTAAATAAAAGATGTAAACATAAATTTAAAACCAATCGAAGAATTTCACTTTGTGGTTCCAATTTTAATCTTTGTTCGAGGAGCAATGGACGAACAGTCGTTTACCTTCTATTTGTTATCCGAAAATTTCATTTAGATACCAACTTTGCAAGTCTTCTTTAAATTTTTTAATTCTGAGAAACAATAATCGACACCTCGGTTGGAAATGTTCAAGATTAGACGAACGACCGTGATTCATCTATTGTAATTTTTATTTTAATAAAAACAGGATGCACGATGGGGGAGAAAAAAAAATAAACAGGAAGGAGAATGCTCGCGACTCGTTGCAACCAAGACGAATATGAACGATTCGGACGAATGGAGAATGAATGGAGAATGAGTCCTCGACGTGGGGTTCGCAGGATGCGACAGGAAACGATGGTAAAAGAAGAAAGGACAGAATGGAAACGGAGGAACGGGGTAAATACAAAGAGTTTAAAGATAAAGGATGATATGGCCGAACGGAGGAAGAGAAAAGGGGGAAGCAGGACAATGTATTCGAAAAAGTGTACGTCGATGGGGCGAGCACGAGGGTGGAAAGGTTGAAAGGTATGAAACGTGGGAGTCGAGGGTGAAACGAAGAAATGGAAAAAGAGGAAATCCATAGAATGACGCGAGCTTGGAGAGGCGGTGGTTCGCGAAAACTCTCTATTTATCACAGCTCCAAACGAAAGCACCCTCTCCACCCTCTGCCTCTTAACTGAAGTCCGGTAATGAGTTTCTAGCACGCGTTAACCGATCTTCTCTCTGCTCCAGCTTCTCGAATCGGTAAGATGGGGAGCCCGGCGAAAGAATTACCGCCATTCCAAGTTGATAATTTGGAAATTCGATCGTTCGATAATGAAAATTACGAGAACGTCAATTTGAAATTATCGTGCATACAAACTCGAACGATTTGTTATTGGCAAGTTCACATCTTCGATTGGAATGATTTACAAGTGGTTTGAGTAATTACAAAATACACAAAAAGAATGTAAAAGATTCTCGATACGAGGACGAGTGATTGATGATTAAAGAATCGTGAAAATTGAGGCTGTAAACATTTTAATATTTGCGAATGAAAATGGCGTTCGCAAAGTGGACGCGGCTTTTGCTCGCGATCGAACAAAAGCGGAGACGAGCGAATGTTTCAAACGAAATTTAAAATTAATTTTCGCGCCGGTTCCGTGATATTAAACGAAACGTGGATACAGGATTATTGGTCAGAAACGGAAGGAACATCAATCAAAACAGCGAATTAAAGCGTCGACCTTCGTCAAAGGAAGATGGTTCCATCAGTGATCGTAATTGATTAATTGGAAACGGGTGGAAAAGTAACTTGTTACTGATCTCATAATCATTAATATTATTCTGAAGAAAATTTTACGGGTTTTGGATTCTGTAAAATTAAAGAACGTATCCATATTTGTTCTCAGCAATTACACGTTAAATTTGATGAATACAATGTAACGAAGGTATATCCTAATTAAAAGAAAAAGTGTTGCTTTTAAAACCAACTTTCAATCACGACTTCTTATATAAATAAATCGCTAGAATCGAATAGAATATTAATTCCTTTAATCTACAATGTTTCTAATAAGTTTCATAATTCCATTTACGTTTAAAAATTCCACCCACGATCCACGATACGTTGGCTCGCGATACGTTCGCCACACCCGTCGCTAATTTGCCTATTCGACTTAGAGAGTACACTTAGACCTAACCTGGCGCACTTAACCCGGCCAGCGTGCTCGAAACTCGTCTCCATGGCGGGCAAAGAATGGGGAAACGCGACGGAGGCGAAGTTTCCCGGGTCTATTTCTTTCACCCCCCATTCCCGATGCAAACCGGAGAACCCGTGGTGAGGGACGGGGGAAGGGGGGGACACGAGGGCGGAAACGGGAGGAAGAGAGTTCGCCGGAAATACCTCGAGAGTTTGGCTATGACGTCCTTCCGGAGCAAAATGTTATTCAGCGTATTGATCGTGTCGACTTGCAGGGTGAAGTCCTGATCCTGTGGATCACCGGGATCAATCACGACGCCGTCTATGCTGGGACCGAAAGCTGGGGCGAATTTCAACCCTTTAACGGGCACCGACACCAGCGCATCCAGTGGCACTTCCCTCAGGCATCTTAGCAACGCCTGGGGATCATCCGCGGCCTGGACAAAGAAAACACCCGTTAGAACAGCCAAATGTTAATGGACAAACGATTTAAGCCAGCGATCGTTTTAAAAAAATAATCTGAAAACGTTAACTCTGACCGATTATAGAGAAATATTTTTTTAAAAATATAGGTAACTAATATTATGTACGATACATTATTACAGTCTCTTTTATTAATATTAACTCTTTGCACACGTGCTTCATTCCAGGGACCCTTGTTACAATGTTCTCTTCTAGTGTCTGCTTAAATGTGTGTGTATATATACAATAAAAAGATAAAAGATTTTTCCTCTTTTGTCCTCTTTTCTCTACAAAAAAAATCATCAAAGAAAAATAAACAATTGTAATAGAAGATTGTATTTTCGAGCGGAATATTGGAACTATATTTCATACATTCATAGAGGCTGGTAATACAAAATATACTGAAGCCTCATATTTTTTGTAGTACAGCATTATTATTGTTTTTAGTATTCCTGTGTGTCCTATGTGCTTCTTCCAATTCAGAAGTTAGTTTCATCTATCTTTTTTTATATAGATTTTCACTGTTCAAGAGGGAGTGAGATGGAAATTAAATTCGTCTATTTTTCTAATTTTCTCGACTGAACCGACAAGTCAAATTAATATGTTTTCATTTTGATTGCATATGAAAAACAATTCCGAGTCGATTGGTAGCCTCTTTAAACATGAACACGAGTGCAAAGTACAGAGTGCACCAAATTTCGTAACCTTTTTAGACTTCTGAAAAATGACTCTCACGAATCCGATCGAATGGTAAACATTTTATAGTTTGAGTAAAATTTTTGAAAATCATCCGACGTCGCTGCGTGGCGTCGATTGTTCGTATCAGGCGGCCGATTAAAGTCGTCGAGCGAATGATTCGTTGCGCAGACCAGCGACTGTGCTCCACTTGTGGGCAATTTCGCAGCCGCGGAGAACGACGGCGTTTCCCCTGGACGGATTTCCTCCGCGCGAGCACAGCGGCGCTCGACATTCGATTGCGGCCTGGCCTACGTCGGCCAGGATTTCCAAAGGCGATTTCCCGTGCCGGACGCTAAAGCAATTCATTTGCGTGCAGTCGAATTAAAGTCAATCGGCGCGTCGGTCCGTGCGGCGTCGCTGCGTTTCATTGCACCGACCGGCCGTTTACCAGGGCTTCGTTAACCCTTTCCGAGAACGCTCGTTTCCCCGTTGATCCCCACGGGACTACGGGCAGGAATCATTATTTGCTCGGATTTCATTCCGCCGGCCAACAAGACGCCATTACCGTGGACGCGCGTTTCGTTCTTCGATCAGTTTCCCCTACACGCGATGCCCCGTAACAATTTTCACACCATCGATCGAACATATGCGGCAAATAACCATACTTGGCGAAGGAAATTTCCTTCTAAATTACCGATAATTTTAAATAAATCCAGCCAAAATCGTTTTTTATTCGGTTAATGCTTGTATGGATTTACCATTATGGAAGGAAATAAATTTGGATAGGGTTCGTGAATGTTAAATCGAGATTTTTAGTGTGGTGGAATACTATACAAATATTTGTTTTTGTTTGTCAGAAAACGTGTACTAAAAGTCGACCAACGTGCAATTTTTTACGATAAAATACCGCGAATGCGAAACACGTTTGCTAATATTTAATGGGGTAATATATTATCCCGGTTTCAAGCGGCTGAGAAACTTTGACAGTTTGATGAGATCTCTTTGGGGGTGGAAATTTCTTGTTTTTGCGCGCTTTCGACACTTATTTCCGGGAATTAGTTTAAGCTAATGGAGAACACCGCTTTGCAGTTGTGAAACATTTTCAGAGTACCTTTATGAAACGATACGTCGAAAATGGAAATAATAACAGAAGTCGTTAAAGGAGAATAATAATTTTTCAAACACATCGTTTCATATAAAATTTAGACGATTTTATGAAAACGATGTTTACTAGTGTTTACAAAAATTACGATTTACGATAATACTTACGGAGTTCAATGATGAAGGTTTATACCGTTTATATTAATCGCTACAAACTCGTTACAGAGCGATGATCATTAAAATCGGCTTCGAATCGCGAAAAACAACCAGCGAGGTAAAATTATTCCAAAAATAAAGGATAATTGATAGTTATGAAGCGAAATTTGCTACTCTGAAGGTTCATTGAATGATTCCAAAGCGGCTAAGTAAGGGCACGTTGGGATATTCGATCACTATTCATAAAATGATCGATACCGAAACTTCGAATGCACTCATCTTGAAATCGATATTTTCAAATTGCTAGGTAACTTTTCCTAGAAACTTTTCATCCTATTGGCTAGAAATTCCAGTCCTCTATTCGCAAAACAAACATGCTCTATCGCTACGCGTACGGTTATTTTTGTTTTTTTTTGTCGATACTATTTGAGAGGAGCATAAAGGTTTCCCTGAAAAGTACACATTTTTTTCTGTTAAAAGCCATACCGTTCCCAACCAACGACAAGCAGGGTCCATGTAGTTTAAAATAAATTCTCCAATCTGAAGAGTCTCCAATCTTGCACAAGATCCATTTATTTTAGTTTCGACTCAATATTGAATTTCTCTAAATAATATTTCACAGATAAAACGACGTTAGTTCTACTCAATTATGAAATTAAATAGCACGAAAAGCATTCGTGTGGTCGTCGGGAATTAATTACGTTAAATCGAAACGTTTAAAACATATAAATCTGCTCGTGCAAGGCATCCGTGTATATTTCGTTGAATAATATCGTTCGAGATCCGCACGCAATTTCTCGAAAACGAAATGTCGTCGGTACTCCGCCCCGCCGACACCCTTTTTTAACTCTGTCCAACCCTGTTTCAAATCCCGTGGCGAAATTAATTTCGTCATTTTTCCACCGTCAAATTCAATCAATTCCAGCCTGGCCGCGAGTATCGACTGGCACGACATAATCCCGTTCGGGTTTTCCATTTCGTCCGGATCCATTTTTTTTTTTTCCAACCATTCGACGGGTACAACTCGCACGAGGGGTTTGCCTCGACGGAGCCGGAGGAACAATCGACCGCGTTCGGCCAGATTTCGCGCTTAATCGTTATTTTCAATCCGCTGCAAATCGAGGGGCTGTTTAGGTTCGCCTACGCGTATCGCCGGCAACGACGGAGGGGCTGTAAGCATCCGACGCGCATCGATATTGGCCCTTGATATCGTTCGATAAATCTTCAACAGCGTTTCTCTCGAAAATAGTAGCTCGCGTTGACGCTGTCGCTGTTTCGATCAGCGAAATCCTTCGATGCTGGCCGGATACGCTGTCGATTGCACCCCAGATTTTGTGTTCGACGTAATTTTTAACCCTCGTCGCGGTCTTGTGTTTTACATTCAAATATACAGGTTGTACATTTTAGAAAAATTTTCCTCTCAAGGATACATCGCAATTTAATAATTGAAATGGAAAGCAAAATATTTATCGAAAGTTACAACGAAGTACAAAGGGATCGACCGTGGTCAGACACGCCTTTTGAGTTGCACGACGTGCACCGGATTTATCGTTAATTTTAAACGGATGCATTGGCTGCAAGATTATTTAAAACTTTGAGTAGGTATACAATTTTGTTAGCAATCCCAGTTCAGCACTCTTCAAACTCAACTCTTGGCTATGCTTTTACAGGGGGAGCATAAATTATCGTCTTTATGTAGCACGGGGGGCCATTTGTGCTACTTTGTAACGTAGTTAGCGAAACATCTTGTTTGTGGTTCTATTCAGGAGAATTTCATTGTCGGAGAAGAGTTTCAGATTCTCATTTCAACCGAGTTTTACTTCTATCATGAAGTTACTCGAACCAGTATAAACTTGGTATTTTTTAGGTTGCTTGAAATAACTTTACAATCATTCTACGCAATAGTCTCTGCAAGCTTTGCTCCGCAAACAAAAATAATTTTTCCAGAACGATTTAAAAAATTTGAAATTTCAGGGAAAAATGTCAATGGTATGGTCAGATGATATATTTTCGGTAAGGAATTTTTTTCTCGAAACTGCGTAGGATTTCGAGGGTATGTGTATTCACCAAAAATGATTACAATTGACCCCTGCGAACAACAATAATTTTTCCAGAACGATTTAAAAAAATTTTTGAAATTTCAGGGAAACATATCAACGGTATGGTCAGGCATATATATTTTCGGTAAAGAATTTTTTTCTCGAAACTGCGTAAGATTTCGAGGTTATGTGTAATGACCAAAAATTATTATAATTGACACCTGCAACTAAAAATAATTTTTTTAGAACGATTTGAGATGCTTTAATTTTGTCGAAAAGTTTATCCCCTTATTAAATTTTTTTCTCGAAACTGGTTAGGAATTCGAGGGTATATCTATTCACCAAAAATGACTGTAATTGACCCCCGGAACCAAAAATAATTTTTCCGTGAACGATTTGAAATTTTTCAATAACTTTCTAACAAAGCCTCAATCAACAAATTGATATTCTTGATTTTCGTCTTACTTTTACCTCTAGAATCTCTCATTCAAATTTTTCTCCGGAGGGTGGCCAAACACCCCGTATACACTGTTCGTTCGTAAAAAATTCCCGAAGACAAGTTTACTTCCCAAACATCGACTGTGACTTGAAATGATTTTCGAAGCGACTAACAAGAACTTGATGTATCGCGTAAACGTTTGTCCAGCGCCGTGCGCACGATGAATATGATATATTCGAATAAGTTTCAAATCGAAGTTTGTTCTGCATGTTTTCCGTGTTTCGTTGTAAATCCATTTTGCAAACGCAAAGCAGACACGGGGGGGACGCGACGAAATTTATACCTGTCAAAAAATAGCACCGCGCAGCACGCGTTCGACTTTTATTCCCGATGGGAATCCACCGTTCCCGACCAAACAATTTACAAAACAGGGAGTCGACGGTGTCAAAACGGTTACACGGAAACGCGACGCGTCTATACATAAATTAAACTATCAGATTAAACCGGGCGGAAACGGTGTTTTTACGTCCGTTAGTTACGCACTACCAATTATATTAACGACGCGTTTCAATTAAGCTAATATGCTCTCTGGACATCGCGGAACTCCCCCGCCGGGAATTGTCGTGTTTTAACGCGAGTAATACACGCTACTAAAATACCTTCTCGTCGAATAGAATTAAATTGTCGGCGATACGGGACGAAAATAATGTCCGACGTTCGACGATCTGACGTGTGTTTTTGAATAAGCACCTGCACGTATCGCTTAATGTCGCGTGTTATTCTTCGTTACGTATTCCATTTCGTTTCTATAGTTTCTCTTACTCGTTTGCTTTCGACTATAGATTCTTTCCTTTCGCCCTTACGAAACACATTTTACTATTTCCACTCTTCCTGCTCTTTAAATTACAAAAATTTCTTTTTCAGAATTTCACAATTTTTGGAATATTTAATCCCCCGGTTTATCGTGTTCTTTAATTTTTACCTTCGCGCAGGAACGTTTGTATGATTTTCAAACGTCGAATTTCTGAAAGTTTTGGAAGGATCCTTCCATTCTGCGGAAGTAGTGGATTATTTGACTGGGAATTGTCGTCGATTTGGAAACCATAACGCGATACACTTCAGATGGTACTCACCCACGAGCAATTTAGATGTTTAGCAACCTGCAGAGCGTAATTTGCGGCTCCCCTCACCAATGCCCACGGCGAAAGCGCGCTCCCAGACATTAAAACGCTGCGATGAAACAGCAGTCCTGGAACAATTAAAAAGTAGTAAATGAAACGTGCATATTTTTTAAAGCGTAATAATTATACGCGGTGCAGGATTCACGATTTCAAATTTTTCACAGACACGCACGCGTTTATTTTAAAAGTGTATTATTCTAATATTATAGTAAGATAATGTGACTGTACAGGGTGTCACAGTGATTGAAAAAACAAATCGAAAATATAGAATAACATTTTTACATTTGAGACATCGTTGTCGAGAAAATCGACTTTGAATATTCGCTGCAAGTAGAAACAACGATAATGGTCAGACGCGCCAGGCAAATCGGCGAATATTCGATTTTCTCGACAACAGAGCTTCAAGTGAAAATGTTTTATTCTTTATCTCCCATAATTTCGAAAGTATCTTTGAGAAAAATCAATTTCGAAATTCTCATTGCATATTAGTAAAACCGAGTTTAGAAGTACACAGTAATAATTTATTTCGTATCCCATAAATGAAGTTAGAATGAAAAATACATGAAATTTTATTAAATCTATATCACAGACGATCACTCTTCATTTACGATAATTTGATTTGGACCGAGTTGCCTATACCTTTAACGTAAACAGTATCCACAAATATCATCGAATATAATTTGATCTTTTAATATTGAATGAAAGCGTCAAGTGTCCAATTACTCAGACAGCTACCTTAATTCTTTCTGAAAATGGATACCATTTATTTCTCTAGGAAAAGCAATTCTCGATAAATGGATTGACGTCCGAATAAGTTAGATCAATATTAGAATTTCTAACGATGCTCGAATAAAACTTGTATTTTAATGGAAATTACATTCAATTCTATTTTTACATTACAGTTCCATTCCACGGAACACCATCCAAAGAATTTCATCACTAGTTAAAACTGTAGAAAGAGAAAAGAAGAATTACTGAAATTTTTTTTAATCGTTCCTTGCATTCCACTTACTTCACAGAGACGAATCGACCACAAATTACTTTTATATTAAATATCATAAATCTAATAACCTTAAACGTATGGTTAGCGTTCTCGATGGTAAAACGTCCAATTTTCCTGTTGAAATAATATTCATTTTAAAGTTGAAATAAAAACCGTGTAAGGGGAGAATCGATCGTACGTGTGTATATTAGTTTTTCTCGCAGATAACGCGACGTTACGGGGTCTGAGCCATTAGCCAGTGAGTTAAATCTTGGGAGTCGTTAATCTTTGTATCGGGAAGTCAATGCTCGTTGGAGACGGGTAATCCTATCGCGGGCGTTTCGCGAAGATACATCATTAACTGACTGAAGGCGGGTTCAGTGGCCGCGTGTATTCCGAGAACGTATTTTCCAAGGCTTTTCCCCGAGATGGCTTCGATATCCGTTGGCAAGTACTTTCGGTCGCGTGGTTATTGCGGTTTCGGCTGGCTTCGTTAGCGGATCGAGATAACGTTGTTTCGCGGTTCGAGACAAAAGCGGCGGCCAGCATTTTCCCGGGTTGCTTGTTTAATCGGAAACTTGGGTGTCGTTAATCTTCATATTGGAAGCCAAAGGATTCGCCTCCGGGGAGATTTTGCCGCGTGGATATTTTCGGGTTTGATGAAGGCGCCCCGCCACTGATAGTGCGATTGTTTAAAGCGGTAATTGTTGCGCCGCGAACGCCGCGCGTTCCGGTTACAAGTGAGAAATGGAACCCGGAATCTGGCAAGTCAAAGCCAGGAACGTAGAAAGCTTGGGAAATTGAGAATTTGGAAAATTACGTGGAAGTGTATTAGAAAATTGGAAAATTAAACAGTTGGAAAAGTAGACAGAAAATCTGAAAATTGGAAAATAGGGAGAAGCGAGAATTTAAGAAACTAAGGGAAAACTTGGGAAATTGAGAATTAGGAAAATTACGACTCATGGAAGAGTATTAGAAAATTGGAAAATTAAACAGTTGGAAAAGTAGACAGAAAATCTGAAAATTGGAAAATAGGGAGAAGCGAGAATTTAAGAAACTAAGGGAAAACTTGGGAAATTGAGAATTAGGAAAATTACGACTCATGGAAGAGTATTAGAAAATTGGAAAATTAAACAATTGGAAAAGTAGACAGAAATTCTGAAAATTGGAAATAAGGAGAAGCGAGAATTTAAGAATCTAAGGAGATAGAATTAGAAATTAAAAGAATTAAAAGGAGGGTGTGAAAATTCAGAAATAGGAAGTGGACAATAGAACGCATTAAGTACGGTAATTATATCTAAACAGGGGCACGATTTGAATGGATTAGTTCGCTGAATGGCGACGACCCCAGTGATCTCAGTTGGTTACAGATATCGGTATTATATTCGTCGACACGAATCCGTGAGAATGATTTCGTCGCAATGAAGCCTGTCGATACGTAGTCGAGAATCTTGCACTAACACGATACCCATCATCATCCAAGATGCGTCGGTCCATTAGCTCAACGCGCTATCAATGTCTACGTTTCAGCTGTTTAGATGACGTCCCTTTACTGTGCCAGCACCTGTCAGTCAACAAATGGACGATGACTGACGGTTTCCCTTAACCAATACACACTTCTGTAATTTGAATGTCTTTCGAGACAACCCCTATGTTTTCTGTACGATTATTTCCGGGGCAACAAACGTCGACAACGATTCAAAAGATACGTTCTCTTCACTTATTAACACCATTTTAGTAGACATTAGTTTTTAATATTTACGAGTTTTCATTCTTCGGAAATTTTGATATCCCCATTTAAGAATACTTTCCATGCATATACAGGGTTTACATAAAAAATATAAATCGTAAGTATAGAATAACAAATTTTTGTTTGTTGCTTTTAAGAAAATTTTCCACGTGCATAAGCACATTGCTGTTTGTCGAATCACGAAAGCATACAGTGCTTGCTCGACGTGACTATAATTTTTCAAAAAGTATGTAATTTCGTTCCATGGTTTAGAAGATAATTATACTCGAATAATATCCTAGAAAACCGAAGCTAGTTTTATAACAATTTCATTTTATTATTTCCCGGCGTCGCGTCGGAAGGCATTATTTTTCATCGTTTGCACTCGATTTGAACCAGATTTTAATTCCGTTACCGCGTTACGTACGAAGTAATTGTTTTCGAGCAATATCGATGTGCAATTTTCGTTCAATTTTCCATCGAACTTCGGATATCACGGTTCTCCCTTCAACGCACCGGAAAGACGGTCGCGACAGTTTTCATTTACCCGCGTAGTTGAAGATTCTGTCGGGGTAACACGAGACGTACTGTTATGCACCGTGGCTCGATATCCAGTCATGGGAAAATTAACCTGTCAGCTCACCCATTAATATGCATGTGTCCCGTTAGGTAGCTGGCAAGATGGCGTACTGCAACATCCGTCACTTAAGAGTACGTCACACTTTGGGATGTATACCAATTAAATTGGATCCGCCGCGTGTACGGACAGTCTTAAAATTGTCCCAGTTTAGTACAGTAAGAACAGAATATTCTCCGAGCCGTCAACCAATTATTTATTAAACATGACATACCACGAGCTACAATCTCAAATATTATTTTAACACCTCGATTGGAATCTCTGTTTTCCAACACAATTTTATTGTGTTGCAAGTTTATATTCTCAATTTTCCAGGATTTACAGTGCACGATATTTTAAAAGCTTTCTTAACAATTCGAATTTTTTCTTTCTCGATGTATTAAGTTCCACGTACAAATTAACGCGTTCCATTGTGCGCATTGTTGCTACACGGGACGCGTGGACACAGAAAAGGAAGCCGCAGCATTTCATAACAAACTTTCGCGTCGTGCATTATCTTGATAACCTACATGACACAGTGAAGTGCGAAGTGCACGTGTTAGGGGCATTATGCATACTATTATTACGTATACTTCAAACTTCTGTCGTTGTTTCGGGACAAACGTACCCCGAATAAAACCGTAAAACAGTACCGCGGGGTTAATGCTAATTTTATCTTGCTTCTCGCGTGCCAGCAACCCTGTTTTCGAAATTATGCACGGATTCGAAGAGGAGAAAGTACGAATAATAATCTACGTTCAACAGGACGTACGTCGTACGCTCTAATTCCACTTGTCGCTGTTTTCGATATTTTCAGATATCGATGTTTTTACTCAATCTGATCAGGCGTGCTCCAATTTCACTTCTCACTGTTCTTATCGCTCTAAGTATCGATTACCAAAAAGTGTATGGACATTGAATGTCCTCGTTCCACTCATCATTATTCATACTGTTATAAAACAAAGAATTTGTCAGATTTCACTTAACAGAATAAACACGAAATACGTAAATATTCGATAAATTCGGGACGCAACATTTTGTTGTTTTAATAGGATTTAAAAGCGTAACCTGCATTGGACAGTTTTATCGATCATATTCTACTTCGGCAACAATAATGGGTTATTATTAATGCCCGTCGTTGCTGCGCCCGAGCATCTATAAATATAAGAATGGAATCGCATTGTTTCGAACATTTTTCGAAAATATTAATAACGATGCGGTGTTATTATCGAAACGGGATACGATGACAATAAATAGCCAATGAAGGGTACATTTTAAATCGATGATTTTTAGAGAAAATTATTCGAAACGCAATTGCACAGAGAATTATTCTCGTAAGCTGTATTCAGTAGTATCAGTCAGATAATGGGCAGGCATGGACGTTCAACTGTATAAGTGATCTCTGAATATTCATTTTGTACGGTTTTTAATAAATCAACTTCACTTTTTAAAATTGTGTTATGAATTCAGAAAGATTTGGAATGTTGTCCATCAAGAACCATTGTTCGTATTAACTATTAATAAGTATTCAAAATACTCAGAATCTCACCATTAAGAATAGTGTTCGCATTAAGTAGTATTGGTCAACCAATGGTCAGACGCAAATTTCCACAACAAAATTGACTATTAACTAAAGCATAAATTAATAAATTTGGGAAAGCTTGTTCATATATTTTCCTGGTTTGCTTTAATAATTTTCCCCTCGAATTTTTTTGTGGACATTTGTGTCTGAAATTCGTTG